TCGGTTTTCTGTTGCAATAACAGTTCCCGTACAATCAAAATATTGAGTTGGCCCACCCCAAAGTATTCTGCCAACTGATGCTGGATAGTCTGCATCACGAGAGACACCCGTCGGTGGTAATACTGGATGAAGCCATAAATAAAGGACATTCGCAAGAATGCATGAGTCTCTGATCTTTCCCTCTATTGTGGATATTTCAACAAAAAACAAATTTCCGTTTTCTCATTATGAATTTTTAAATTTTCTGATTCACTTCTAGTTCACATAATTACTTTGTATCTTTACCGAGCTTTCGATCAAAATAAGTTACACAACCATTTAAAAACAAAAATCCTTCGAAACAAGCATGTTAAAGTATAGGCGTGGTCTTGACAGCATTTAGACTATGGATTCGATGATGACAATATTAATGGCGTACCCTATCGACAATTGTATTGAGATGATTTCACTCGAGGATACCGATCAACAACGATTATTTGATCTGAACGACGATGAAGCAAAAGATGATTTTGACGATGGAAAGCTACAAAAAAAAGTAGAGGGTGCTGTCCCTGCGTGTGGAATTCGAGTTTCAATATGATAGAAGAGTAAATTATTAGTATTGTACTTATTAATGTTGCAATCAAACGCCGAAGCGAGTAATTATCAGTCCAACCTAACTGGATGCATGCAGGAAAAATTACCAGAAACCTCACCCGAATTTTTCGAGAACAATTCTTATGTTTTGTGGTGTGTAAAAAATATAAGAATACTGTAATTCATCCATATTTTAAAAAAATGAAAACAAATTGTATTCTAAGTTAAAAACTATAAGATAATCGAAAACTATCTAAACAGTGGACAGAAAAAATTTGGTCAGACAACAGTTCAAAAATATTTTCCATTCCCTTTTTTATGCCTAATATTTCTCTGTCAGAAGCATCAGTAACATTTGCCGTAGCAGCGATGAATCACTGAGATGTGACAAAATTTCCAAAATAGTAACGCGAGAATTATCAGGGGCATCTCGTTACAATTATGCATGGTGCCGTGGCTGTCTTAAAATAAACTGTCTTATCTCTAGTCGCTAGAGAGAGTCATGCTGCGACTAAAGCGCGATCAAGCCAAGAACAATACAAGAAATTTGACGACATGTTTAATTTGACACACGCACATTTGGATCCTCTGAGGTATCCGGTTTTATCAGAAAATGATAAATCAATAACTGAACGTGATCTAAAAGGGATGTCATTAAATGATTTTTCACTTGCTATATTATTTACTACTAATGATGTAACAACATTAACACAGCAGAAGCAACAACAACTAGGGATGCACCGAGACAGGATACTCGATGCCCGAAACTTTGTTTCGAATAGTCTCGAGTCTCGAAACTGTAGTCTCGAATAGTCTCGGTATAAAAGTGTCGGTATCGAAACTGTCCAAGACTATTTTTTTATATTGTTGTGAAGCTGTGTAACGTTTTTATAAGAATAAAAAAGAAAATAAATAAGTAACGGAAACAAAACCAAGTTGGTCTGCTTCGGCCCTTGCTTGCTCGGGAAGACAGCCGATATACCTTGGAATTTAGAGCAGCAGATGCCTTCTATTCTTTTCTGAAAAGTTATACCTTACATAGTTATCTTTAGCGCATTCAGTTTTAGTCCGGTTCATGACTATGTGTAAAATACACACACAGCGATTGAAGGAAAGTCTTCCTACACCCATCTTATTAAAATCAGAAAAATTTATGCAACACAAAACAGGTTCCTCGATTTTCTCAGCAAATGTGAGGATCCTATACAAGTAATAAGACTCGAGACTATTCGAGACTAAAGTAGCGAAACTTTTCGAGACTTGAGACTACAGCATCGAGGCTGCTCGAGACTGCCTAACAACAACAAGATCAAAAAGAAAACTCTTATCCGCTATAAATGTATTTTTACCTTTAGTCGAGCAAGATATTTGTGTTAAAGACTACTAGTAAAGACTAGACTAAACAATCAACAGTTGTTGGAGGTTTAAAGACATATGAAACTACAAGAAGTTCGTTTAACACAACATAATCACCTTTATCTCCAGTTTTATCATTGTTTTGGAAAATTAATAAATAAAAACTATCCTTACTTAGCAGATCCACTAAAAATATTTATCAGTTACTGGCACAAGTTTCAACAAAAGCGCTCTTTCATTGTCGGCTTATTTAACAGATAGTCCGACTTAGTGTTGAAAATTCTTCATTTAGTGTCTTTTTAAAGGGATCAAAATAACCCCTAGTTTTTGTTTTTGTCTAGGAACGTTTTGATATTGCTCAAGTGTACTTCTACGTGAATTCACTCGTGTTGTTTTTTGTTATATTTTCAGATTACGCATATATATATATTTTTGTTCTGTTTCCTCTGATGGCTTGTAATTCAATATTTAATTATATACTGAATACAAATGATTGACTCTTGGCCGTTTTTCACACACACAGCAAAGAAGTCAAGCACAGAAAATGATCGATCGAGCACTTGGCTGGTACTTGCTTTGCTGTATAGCCCTTAGAGCTCATGACAGATATTCTGGAAATCGACCACTGGTTGGCGTACTGGACTCTTTCGCTCCATAGTAACGAGCTAGCTGATCTTGGACATTTGAAACGTTCCTTCCGCACTCTTAGGTCTCGTAGCTAGGCCTTTCTGCGAAATTAGCTTACTCGGTGGACCAGCGCAAATCTCCCGGAACCTGACGTATTATGAGCCATTATCATCCGTTGAAAGCATCATATTTGTATCGTTTTTGAGCAAAATTTACGTTATGATTTACAGCCCAAAATTGTAGCAGGAATTATTAAACAACTTTAATATTCTCCAGAAGCTTGATATGTTCATAAGTAGGAACCCTTAATCACATTAGCACGATAAACTAGCTAACGAATCGATGAGGGAACGTTTATTTTCGACAGTACCTCACCAACTACTATATAATTACTAATTATTTCTCAGGCATTAAAGACCTGACTAAATGAGCAATAAAAAGCTTTTTTGTCAGTTATTTTTCTGATATGGGGTTAGTCACATGTTTCTAGTGTTTCTGTATATATTTCCTGCAGAAAAGTAGTTTCATACACTTTTCAGACATTTTATGGATGGAACGCTTGAACGCTATCCTCTTGTCTACTTTTGGCTGATCTCGCCTTGTCATGGACGCGGACGTCATTTACATATGGCCCGATTAATTGTAGTTGCCCTCAGTGCCTTACTTTTGGCAATAGCTAGAATCTTAGCTGATATTCGAGCGTTGTGTGTGATGTTCTGCTTATACCGATGAGGATGCCGCGGAATGGCAGACGCCATCCG